ACAGATGAACGGCATCAATAAAGTAAAAGAGGTTAATCACCAGACAACACAAGCCCACACTTTTCCTACCAAATGGCTAGGAAAAGTTGAAAGGGATAAGTAGGCAAATAATGTTCACATCATATATGTTTCAAATGACATAAAATTGTTTCTACTGTAAGAAAATATCTTTAACATTAGTTATGAATTATCATAATGTAACGTACCCTGGACAAATGAAGCTTATCAAAATTTTAATTCAACGACATGGATACGCTAATGCTTTTAGTTACAAAATTGATGATGATTTGAAAATTATCACTGCAATTATTATCCAAATCTTCAGAATTGAATTTTTATAAAAGGCATATGACAAATGTTTCAATTTCAAATGGGTTAAAACAGGGTTCAAAAGGTTATCTAAGAACATATTATGATAATAATTATTGGAGTTTTAAATACATTTGTATCCATACTGTAAATAATAATTTCATAATTCCAGCTTAAACTTGATTTTGAGACAATATGAACACACTTTGTTTTTTTGTTCTTAGAAACATTAAAATATATTTTTCTAAATATTTATTTTGAGATGAACTAAGGCACTTGATTTGATGCTATTTTAGTATCAAATCCTATATTTTACAGATTATTATCACTTAAAAGACATTAGTGGAAAAATTTTAGGGGGATATACAAAATATCACTAAACAATAGATTTTAGAATTGAAAATTTAACTGATAAGTGATATAATTTTAGCCAAAATATTGACAAAATCCATATACGCCACATACTAGGAATATTATTTCCTTATATTTAGGACTAGTAAAGAGATGTGAACATTACAGGAGGGTGAAGGAAAACAGACAGGGCCTTACCTACGACGCCAGAAGTAATAACACCAGGAGGCTGGGCAGCAGGACTGGTAGGAGGCGGGGCCAAAGTGGGTTCCAAAAATTTGTTGCAGTAGTCGGCATCTTGACAGCACAGCATGGAGAACAAATGGGCTCGTTCAGCTGGCCGCTGGCATGTTACAGCAAACTCCGGTGGGAAACTGTTTTCCTTGTTCCCACACCTTCATCAGCAGTACAACAACACAGCTATCAGGACATTGGACGACACACACATCAGCTGTGACATTCCCAGCAACCGACATGAGCCAGAATTCCACTCTATAGAAGTGAACAAGATAACAACACCTCCACAAACATTTCTGCCACACGTGATATTTGACGATATGTTTGTCACTGTCATGTTACCCATGCTGGTTGCTGAGCACCTAAATGTAATTTTATCCATGAAATAAATAAGAAACAAGAGAAGAAGATAGAGACAGCAGAAGTAAATCTAAATACACAAATACATAATACATTAAACATATTCACAATTTCCAGATATTAAACACTTTTCAAATTGTCCTTCATCATTTTCTGAAATAATTATATGTAGTTATTTAGAACGAATGAGCTGATCTTAGAAACTTTTCTCTTCTTAGAAACACACAACCAACTTTAACAGCCTAACTTACAAGAGAAAACCATTGAAAACACACACAACATGGTGAACATGGCAGGAAAGGGGCAGCACGGCTATTAATGGGGCAGAAATAAATTTCTTTTCACAAGTTCTCAAGGGCGTGCATTCTCTCAGCAATCTTTCATTCTAAATTGTTACAGCCTTGCATTTTGGCCTCATTCCACAGCAAGTTGATTGTTTTATTCCTGCCCTGTTAATATAGTAAATACTTCTACAGGTTTCATGTTTTTTTATTTCACCACTTCCAATCATCAAATCAGATTTATCTTTGGAATATGATTCTTACATGCTTGCTAAAAATTTTAGTTTCCTTCTAACATTGACTCTTTTTAACATTTATGCTGCAATTGACGTAACAAAAATGAAAACCAAACGATTAATCAGAATTTTGGGGTTGTTCCTTCTTTAAAACCCATAGAAAGAAATGACAACGTTATGGCCTTCACTTGATTGTGCTTCTGAACATTTCCTGGCTTGAATCATTTCAGTAGGTAGATTCAAGGAGCACCAATTGTTGATTTACTTGATAAATATATAACTTTTTTTTAATCCCAGTCCACACTATTCTTCCTTAAATACACTACTATTTACACTAATAAGTTTAGTTAGTAGGAAATTCATTCCTTCATCATTAGGGCCCATATCCTTAGTTTTAGGATTATCCTATTTTACTCCTTAAAATTATCAATTTTCCATAAACTTTTACACACTTTAGATTAAGTATTACGGGGAAAAACTATCTGAAGGATACTTTTAAGAGTAAAAAGTATAGTCTGTGCTATGTAAAGGGATTTATCACAAAATATTTAAATTGATAATCATTCATCCTGAATCCTAATTGTTGAAACACACTTCGCAATATTTGTATATGTGGAAAGAAGGAAGATGCATATTCTGCAATTTTAGACTGTTTACTCCTTATAACATTTTGTTCTAATTATTCTGAAAGATTTGAAATAATTCAGTATAGAACAACTGCAATAAAGCTGTCAGACTATGGCAGGTCTTAGCTTCACAAGGCAGTAGTGACAGAGTACATACATACATGGCTGCAACAATATATATTATATATTATACAATATATATTGATTTCTCATTCACACAAACAGTTTAATATTCAAATCTATTCTCAACAAAAAAATATTTGAAATTTGTAAATTAATAAATTCATGATACAATTCTGATTCTAGATTTTCCAAAACAAGAAATCGTAAACTAAGCTTCAATTTCTCAAAACTGAAATGAAATCAGCAGGTCTACAGCATATGGTTACAATAAAGAAAGATAAAAATCAAAAAGTAACGAGAAATAAAATAACGATAATGTGCAAGTTCTTTTTAAATGCCAAGTCCAAATGTTAGTTTAAATTGTAAATATTTACTTATGTCATGATGTGAAATTCCTGCGTAAAAGAGAATTTTAATGAAATATTTTTATGACAACAGAAAACATCTGTCATATTTATTTATATATTTTTGGCAAAATATCAATGAAATTTTACATGCATAGAAAAAATAAACGGAAAACACTGCACAAACATTTCAGTCGCTGAATGAGTATTGAGAATTATGAAAGAAAAGGTAAAAGACAAACAAAATAAAAAGAATATGCATTTGCATAATTAATATTACATACCTGTATGCATGTTTTTTACTACCGGTTTCCTTATCCAAAGAGGTTGTTGTGAAGCAATACCCATCAGTGATGCATGTGAAATTAGTCTCCTTGCAGAAGTCACAATGACATAATAGTCCTACAACATATTGAAATTTCCTTAATAATAATAATTACCTCACACACAAAAAAGGACAATTCCAATAATTTGGCAGACATTATTCAATGTCAAGAAATGTCACAAATGTCAGATCAATCATTGACATAAATTACACAAAATTTTGAAACAAAAATAAAAACACAGTTAATTTTGAAATAACAGAACATGTTTAAATGACGACAAAATATAAATGTTATTCTTAATGACAAATAACATGTGATCACAAAAAAACAAGCCAACAAATACACGACAGCGAGTGGAGATAAATAGTCTAATACAACTTCTTTACCCCTAATATATACACATAAACAAAGGCATTTTAAATGACTTACCGTTCACAGCTGCAAAATGCAAACAAACAAGTAATGTTGTTGGTAACATGTAACAAATATAGGAAGACATTGTGTCTTGTCGCGTTGCATTTCATGTAGCAATAATCATAGTTCTAACGCAACGCTCGATGGGCGTGCTTCTGCTCAAGGCGACCTTATTATTAATCTTGATTTGGCCCTTGCCATTACTTTAGCAGGCCCTTCGCCCACCGCGCCCACCGTCAAGGACCATATCAGACCATATAGTACCTATAACCAAACCGGTCCCAGCAGCGACCAATCACAAAATCAGAGAGTACAAAATGCATAATTCTACATGCTGCAATTTCTGTATCCATCCGCGAGAAGGTCGAGACGGTGCACAGACGAAACCAGACTCTCTTGCCAGACTCCCCCACCACGCTGTCTGGAGCAAAGAGAGAAGCTGTCTTGTTTTTTGCGACAATGCAACTGCAAAGGACATCTGGTTACAAGATAATGTTACGTTCGGGAATGCATTTGTGTTTTACAGAGTTACCGTTCGAATTGCGAATTACTGCTTGGAAGTGGAGAAATACTATTATAAGGCAAAATGCATAACTTCCTATATTAATTACATCAATTATATTATTGACATACTCTACGATGTACCCATTTAGAATGGAATTGAAATTGGAGTAGTAAACATTGTAGGAAACGTAAATAAAGAGATAATTCAAAAGAATGAACTGAGACATCTCCAATATTCATCTGTGTCTCTAACGGGACTGCTAATTTGCTGACAGTCAGCTGACAGTTGCCGTAAATCCGTTTCATCTTATTTTTTCATTGAAAATAACAACAGTAACATATACAAGATGCACATATTCATAAATTTTAATGCACTCAACTCTCGTAGGTGCATATATATATATATATATATATATATATATATATATATATATATATATATATATATATATATATATATATAGTGTAACTGTAACAAGTAGTATTAAATTTACTTATTACAATTAGCCGCACGTCTGAAGTATCTTCCTCCTTATATTTAAACTGTCAGTGAAAATATTTAACATTTCTTAACTTTAGTGTTTATTTAAATTACTTTTTTAAAGGAATTCATTGCTAGTTGGTCAAGCGAATATTATGATCGTATATTTTACAAATAATATTTAAAATGTATTACTTTTAAGCAAATTCACTCCTGGTGAAATTTTTGAACCAAGTCTGCATTTTCTACCTAAATTTTTGTTAAATATTTCATTTAACTTTCATTCTTCTTTCCTGGATCCACTTTTCAATTTTGATTTTTAGTGTTTGTCAATGAAAATCCTTCCCATCTAATTGTTATGTTTGTAAGTGAGCCCGGCATTATAACAAAGAAATTCAAGTCAGCGTCAAAAAAAAAAAAATGCCCTTGAGAAATTGACATTGCAAAGTGTAAGATTATTTTATCCTATTGTTGGTTGTAAACAAAGATTTAAATAAATTTATATATCAGAATTTTTCTTGTTTTCTTTCTCGTATTCTCAACTTGACATGCTGCTTCACCGAGTATACGAGTACGAGACTCGTACTACGAGACCTGCCCGAGACGAACTACGTTCGATCCTGGGTTCCAACGAAGGTGAACGAAGTGAATATAAATGAGGGCTGGTGCGTGTACAATATTGTAGGTCTTCGAAATTGGGTAGCCGATTAATTTTCATTACACTTGGTACAATGGCCGAATCGTTGGCCAAACACGGTATATACTTTGATGAACTAAATAAAATACGGGTTGTCGAAACCGAAGTTTCTCAACAAACAAATGAATTAAAAGAAGAATGCAAGGATTTTGTCGAAAGTAAGGGGACCTTCCGTGTGATTTTGAATATTTTAAAGGAATTTTAGAATCGGTATCATGAAATATTTTTTTCAGAAATCTCCGAGTTTCAAAAAATAGCCGACGGTTTTATTCTAATGGTTGACACATTAGGCAAAGAAGTAGAGAAGGAAAAAATGAAAGCTATTGGCGCTCGAAATCTTCTGAAGTCTGTATCAAAACAGCGAGAAGCAGAACAGCAGCAATTGCAGGTTACATTTGCACAAAGGAGAATGTAGTTTTCAATGTTGGCATATTTATTTCTGTCTAGAAGATATAAATTACAAATGTAATTTTTGCACAAGCACAATTGCACGAATGCAATGCACTAATAAATCACATTTTATATATGACTTTCTTGTGCCTTAAGATATATGTTAATAAATAATATTCTTTGGATTGGCAATCCTTGGGTTTTGTTCACTGTTTATTATGTTTCAGGCCTTAATATTTGAAAAGACTACTGAGTTAGAAAGATTGGGTGTACAATTACAATCTCTTCATAAAACTGAAATGGAACAACAAGAGTTGATTGAACAGTTAGTTTTGCATCGTTGATATGTTTCGTTAATTAAAGAAGAATTTACTGAAACTTAAAGACTAAGAATCAACGGGTGCTGCTATTAAGATATGCTTTAATTTATATTGCACTTTAACATTTCATATCATGATTTAATAATTAAAACTTGAGGAAATATTATTTGTCAATATAGTTAGTAAAAATTGATCAGCAAAAGTTCAAAGATTACTGAAATTTTATTAAAATACCACTTAAAATGGAAAAAAAATCTTTAATTGTAATCATAGCTTATGATCACTTACACTGAAAATTGTGACAGTTAATGACAGATGTTATGAAGTATCAATTTATTGTAGAATATTAACAAAGTAATGTGATGAAATAATGAAAATTAAAGAGTTGAATAAACTTGAATGAAATCAACTTTTGTTAAAAAAATATTTACATTAAAGCTGAAGAATATCCATAATTTTTTTTTTTTTATTGGAAAATTAATTTTATGAACAGATAAGAATTTTTCAGATAGAATTGTGAAGAAATATAAATGAAAAAGAATTGTCCCTGAGATGGGTAGCAATTACCTGGAAGAGTTATGTTAACATAACCTAATCTTAAACATTTTATTTGGACAGTCACTTTGATTATTCTATCCATTTATTTATACAGATTATGTTTGAGCAGTGCTTAATTTTCAGGGGACTAAAAAGAAAAGGGTCTTTCTTATTTTTTAATTAAAGAAAATTTGAAAATGTTAAATTTGAAAATGTCGTTCCATTGGGTTAATGAATGCTGTAATTGCATTTACACAAAATGAAAGCTTAACATTGTCATACAACATAAGACTTATTACATAAAATATTGTAATTGTTGTACAGATTGTTTGAATGAATAGAAGTGTATTAGAAATGTAAATTCAGAGCACTCTTTATTGTTTTGCTACAAATTAACCACTGTATCATATCATTTTAATTAAACAGAGTTCTGGAATCTGACCTAAACTCTAAAGGAGTTATGTTGATGGTAATCCTTTGTATGTTTCAGAATAAAAAAGTCATGAGTTACCAAATTACAAAAAAGTATTAAATTTTAAAAAAGGGCAGGTTCCTATGTGTGCCGCACATTGATGCAAAAACTACTCAATCACTTTCAGTGAAATTTTCATATGTTGTTTTTATTAGTAATAGGAGTATTTCATGAGTGTTTTGAATTAATTTAGATATGTGGTGGTGTTGATGATCATGATTTATTATTTTCTGACTCAAGTACCCCTGAACTCTTTGCACCCCGCCGCACAGTGAAGAATTAAGTGCAACTTCACTGCATACAAATATTCTGCCCCTGCGATTGTGAAATATTGACTGAATTATTACTTGAATATCGGACAAGGAAATGAAATTTCTCCTAGATAGTGTCATAACGAATGTATGCCCAAGTTTTAGGGAAAACTTTTTAACAGTAGGATACTTGACAACCAGGACATAGAACAAACCCATACTTGCGAGAAAGTCTTTCATCCATTATAGTTTTTGCACTATGCAGTGTCAAATGTGATTAACAATCACGTGAGCAGTAGTGCGTGATATGTAATACATGGCAATAGCGATGCATTGTCAGGTCCACTAGTAATATGAATAAAGTGAAGAATTTGTACATTTACTGACATATGTTTTAGTGTTTTTAATATGACAAATTTGAAACTATTTATAGAAATTTGCTTCAGACAAATAACTTGTTTGTTTAGAAGTCAAAAATATAATGTGACTTCATTAACTTGAATTTTCATAAGTTAAATTACTTGACGTCAGGAATTTTATTTATTTTTATTCTTCGTCACACACATGATGTTTATTTCAACTTGATCCGTGATAAATTAAACTATTGATTATCTTGAACTTTTTCTTTCAATGTATAAAATTCATAATTGAGAAATGGTTTTTGGTTCCCATAATTATGTACTTTTCAAAATTTCAGGTTTTTACTGAGAAGATAGTTTCAATCACAAAATTCTTCTACTATTTTGTATTTTTCATGAAAATCTGAAAGAGAATTCTTTAAAAATCTGATTGCAAAAGAAATTAAAATAAGTAATATGTACAAAAGGCATGATATATTTATAAACATAGTGTTGTAAAGTGTTTATGAAAGCTGAAGTAAATAATTGTTTTCTTGCAATGTTTACTACAATGATAGAATCAAATGTGCTTTTACAAACATATTATTCCTTCAACAAAATAAAATTAAACTAAAAGACAAAAAACAATAATTCAACCAAAAATGTTTATCCACTTTGATTGTCTAAAGTCAAACTTTTTGAAATTTAGATTAGTGTCTTAATAAGGATTATTAGAACACAAGTATTCATGAAGCCTATAGGAGCAAGTATTTTAATTATCTATGGCCTAATATTAACAACTACAACAATTTTCAAATTGAGTATTATTGGAGTACAATAATCCTTGGCCTCCAATTAACCATTGTCATCCACATCATCAGTCTGTCACCATTTGCAGGATGTACAGTCAAATTTCAATGACAATTGTAGTACATTGGTATTTTTAAAAAGTGGATAAAAAAATGTACAACGTTCTTCAATGATCATTATCTTTTTGTAAGACAACTTACTCCATAACTGATTGATTATAAAACTATGCCTAATGGTCTCATTTGATAATTCTTCAGTCTTATGTTGTAACATTATATATTTATCTTGTAAGTAACTAATATAAAACAGGTTTGATAGAATCAGGGAAACAGTATTATTAAAGAATGCCTTTATCAATGATTATAATTAAGTGATATGCAGACTCTCGTAGAATGTATAATTGTCACATTATATTATTAGTGTAAATGCAATGGTACTTGCTTATTTTTTTGTAGCATAATCTAAAAAATTCTACACCCTTTCACAAAAAAATCTGTTTAATACACCCCTGAGAGAATTTACTTTCCATAAAGAGATCATTTACTAAGTTTTGTGTCTACTATTTTATAAGCCATTCGAAACAGTCATCTTCCCTTATAATATTATTTTCTTATATTATACTGGACCTATGTAAATATTCTGCTCTTAATATATAATTGTTTTAAAAGGTAAAATTACTTCAGGCTAAAACCCAACTTAGAATGTCTAGCTGCTGAACTGTGCATTACAGGCTTAAGACTATGAATGAGTGCCCATTCTAATAGTGCTGTGAATTGAGATTAAATTGCATAGGAAATCAGTTTCTTTAATTTTATGGTAAAAGATTATTGGTGTCTCTATCTTCAATTTGAAGTATACATCTCAAGAAGGAAGAGTGTAGTTGCATGTTTCCTTGAGCTCCAGAATCTCTTCCCCACACTTTTACTATACATTGCATGGATGAAAGTGACAACAATGGTTAGTAACATTTGAAAACTAGAAAATTTTGCCCCAAATTAATAGAAAACATATAAGTGTTGGCAATTGAATACAGATTCAATTTCATAGTGGTGCTAACAAAAATATAACACAGCCCCTGGCCCTTCTACTATAACTTGTAATAGGAGAGCTCAACAAAATACGCACAAAGTGAAGCCGCATGTATGCTCAGAAGCAAATCGAAGGGTAATCTTAGCATTTGCTCAATGGATCAGGTAAACTAGATGAAAAATCAGATGATCGTATGAGACAAGTAGCTCAATATATATAATGAACTGAAAGTTCTGTCATGGCAAGAATTATCTGTCTTAAATACCCAAGTCTTTGAAATTCTAATGGAACTACTGTATTAAAAAATAATAATAATAATAATAATAATAACAATAATAATAATAACAATAATGATAATAATAATAATAATAATAATAATAATAATAATAATAATAATAATAATAATAATAATAAAAAAGTGGATTATTGAAAAAACATGTCAATTATGAAATTGTCTTTGATTTCACCATCACTTTAACTACAAAATTCAGGAATAGATCCATTGGTCTGCTCCTTCAATACAATAATATCATAACCATTACTAAGGTGTTCCTGATTTTCCCCAATTCTTTCCTTGTTGTCATTTCTTATTTTAATCTTGGTTTGTATTTCAGATCCTGTTTTAGTAGGCAGGTTGGTAAAATTCTCTTTGTGTATTCTTGCTATTTCTTTTATGAAGTTTTGAATGATGTTCTTAGTTTTAATCTTAATTTCTTATTCTCTCTCCCTGTCTTACCTTTAATATTGGTTCAGAGTACCTTATTTGGACTGCTTCCATTCTTTGCTCAACTCTATTTCAATGTCCATGCCTTATTGTAATCTTGGTTTGAAACTGTCATGTAGTCTGATTTTAGTTTCCATAGTTATGTGTTGTTAGTGTCCTTAAAAACATCTGTAGGTTCTATTGTAATTTGCCAATTTTGTTTTGAAATCCTATAGTGTTGAGATTTTGTTTCCTAAGTACGTAAAGGTACTATTTTGTCAAAAAGCAGGACAGGTGTCAATTACTACTTTAGTCCACATGTGTTCCTGGTTTTCAAAGCCTTTATCTTTAGTTTTATTGTGAATATTGTCAATCCATACTTTTATCTTATGAATCATTTGTAGGTGTTTTGTGTTCATTGTGCAGTGCTTATGCTAAAGGTTTATAATTCATAACGTCAACCCCAATTTTTGTCAATGAATGCTTGCCAACAGACCTACATAGCTTGAGTTAATTATTCAGCATGTTGCATACATGCATCATATCAGTATTTGAGAAATAAACAATGTTCATCAAGCTTCCTGAGCTGATTTTTGAAACTAGAAAATAGTAAGAATTATTTGAATTGGAGCACAGAAACATTTATTGAAAAGTAGGTAAATATCCATTTTGCTCAGTGAAGTGCTTTATGAAGCCATTATTGCATATAAATGGAAGATGCTAGATCATAATGATATTAATTAATGACTAATTTTTTTAGTAGTACAGATCGTATATTGTAATGCTTGGTTACATATTACATTAACTTTAGGATGATATACCAAGATTTACATATTGTTATAAAGATCATGTTTCAAAAATTCATTGTTATCATCAGATTAATTATTCTAAAATTATTAACAACTTTGTGTGCTTCCAGTGGGAGTTTATCATCTGATGTCATCAAAATTCTTGATCATCTGCATTATGTTCTTAGTCATCATGTCCTATTGTATTACCTCGTTTCACTTCTTTCTTCCTCATAGACAGGGTGTACAGAAAGAAGTTTAGTTTTCAATATTGTTATATTAAGATACTCATCTACCTGAGTTTTAAAATTTTAATTTGTGGTTTATATCTGAATTGAAACATCCTTACTAATATGATTAGGTATTAATGGAGTTAATGGAGATGGAAAATTTTGTGTTAATTATTTAATGTTATGCTCTCTCCTCTCAAAAACGGTATGATTTTGACATCATAACTCATGAACAATTAATCATTTTTTGATGATCGTTTTTTAAGGTTGTTATTTGGATTATACTTTAGTGCTTGTATCTAAATTTGAAGATAAATAAGGGATTTGAATTAGAACTTTTAAAAATCACTGGTAACAATATCGATTAACAGAGCAATTTATTATTGTTAATAAGCATTTTCTATTCCAATTTGACGTTAGGCACAAGAATTGACTTTTAGCTATTAAATAAAAAAAGAATCATAAATATGTCTTCAACATTAGAAGAGTTATGATGTTTCAAGTGGGATTGAACGAGAGAAGAAGAACTTCAAGGAAAAAATAATAAATCTCTAAATGCAGGAAAGGTTATACATTTTTATAAATACCTAACTGCAAGAAAGAATGTCCAAAATGAATATTCTGCTTTTAACGAGATAACATAAGAACTTTACATTCGTTTAAATTGCAATTTTAAAATTTCTAAAGAAATAATCCATTTATTTTTCCATTTTACCGATCAGGGCCAACTGAATTACACTTATGGCTGTAGGATGAGATATATGTGCACACATTAAAAAAAAAAAAAAGTTCAAAAGTTCATGGAAAAATGCCATTTGAGGTAGAAGAGTACCTTACCGTTATTACAGGGTTTGGGTAAAAAAATATATTTTTCTTTCACATATTTCTAATTTTGTGCACTGTACAAAGGTAAAATTTAAATGTGTCTTAAAATAATGAAAACTATAAAACGTGCCTAGGCTACAACTATAAATATTAAGAAAAAACGTAGAATTCTTTTTGAGAAAATGTTGATTGATGTTTTTTGATTGATTCAGTTTTAAGATAATGCAGAGCATTTATGGTAATGAATTCATTATATCTTGTTAGGAAAACTGAAAATGTACGATAATGATTTAAAATTTCAAAAGTTTGAATAGATATATGTTAACATTACCAAATAAATTACATAATTTGAATATCTTCATTTTATGTAATTTCATGCCCTTATATTTATGAATTCTTTCAACCAAGAATTATATATTAAGAAAAGATTAGAAAAAAAAACATTATGTAACTCATTTTTAAAGTTTTAATTAATATGGGACTTGCCACATTGTTATAGAAAATTAGCTCTATTTGCACAGATAATTTCTATAGAAGAATTTGGGTAAATTTTGAATAAAAGTTTGAAAATTGTATTCTTCTTGAAAAGTACCTTCAAGAATGAAAGGATGCCTTTTGGTACCTTTCAAATACCTTATGACAAGGTATTAGAATACTTTACTATGGAAAAAATATGTTTGATTAAGACACCAGTGTGGTGCATTAACCAATAGATGTCAACCCAAACACATTCTCAAGATATATTGATGTATGTTAACAGTCCCATTTTCCAGACAATTATAATATTTACTCGATAAATTACCATGCGAGCGAAAAAGTGAAAATATGTTTAATAAATAAATTATAATATGTCATTATAAGTTACTAAAAATTGAAACAGAATAAATGTATACAGACCCCGTTTTAAGAGAGCAGTGTGATAATTAAAGGAAAGTATTGTGTATAAAATACAAGAAAGTTGTAATGCCAAAATATTCTCTTCATTTTTTCTCAATTTAGAAAATAAATATTTACTTTAAATCTAAAGCCTCAAATTTAATTTCCTGAACTTTTATTTCCCTTATCCTGAATCTTTATTTCATATACAGAACAAAAACAGTGTACTTGACTATAAATTAACTTAATACCTGTTGAGTACTAGATCTTAGTTTATGCCATCTACTTTATTGCCGCTTTATCCGTATCCGACCGCTTTATCCGAATCTTAATTGGTTTTCTATAATTTCTGCTTCAATGTATTGCAATTTATTTAAAAAATCTCAGAAAACTTTGAATTTTTCTCATGGATAGAACAAGGAATTTTTAAAAGAATTATATAAACCTTATTTCCAATGAACTCTTTGAATTGGCGAAAATTGCAAAAGATAAATAATGCGAGAAAGACTGTGCAGTTGAGAATCACCAGTTGCTACTCTTCTTTAAACTTTCACTTACTTCACAATTCATTCAGTTTTCTTCTTCTTCTTCTTCTTCTTCTTCTTCTTCTTCTTCTTCTTCTTCTTCTTCTTCTTCTTCAAGGACCTCTTTCCGCACACCCGAAGGGGAATTATTTTGGAGGAGTGTGACAAGTAAGACAATTGAGGAGGTTTTGAGGAGGTCGAAGTCCAGCCCGACCTTTTTCTGCGGGTTGAAATAACACTTTGATCGGTTCATCTAGTATTATTCAGTAATATTGGGTGACCATTACAAATAATACGCGGAAATATGTACTGTAATTGTAACACTAGTATTGCTGTGATCCTAGCGACCTGCCTGGATCCCCTGCCCCCTACAAGATACTTGTACTACAAAACTTCAAGCGATAATGGTTCATTGAAACCAAAAGTGAACCTGATTTCAGCTATAAAAAGGAGATTAAACTTTATGACTCCTGACTAACGCCTTTGCCTAATTCACGTGTGCGGTCTAGCGGAAAGTGAAATCCAACATTCCCTTCTTAGAACGATTTTCCCTGCAGTAGAGCGACCCTCGTAACCTGCCTATTCCCCTCTTCTCTCCCATCCGTAAGTCAGAACAGGGCTCGCTTCCTATTTGAAAGTTCGGGTGAGTATTTATTGACTCCGACCGAGTCAACTATTTAGATCTTTAGTCCCGCAAGTGTAGTGAATGTTATATCACTGGAGTAGGGGGCTACTCCACAGCCAGGATGACATATCCAGTCCTGAAGTTCATGTCAGCTTTCGAGGTTTTCTACTTCCAGGTATCTCGCTCAGCGAGGTTACTTTAGAACTCCGCTAACTTCCGCTTTAGCCAAAAGTATCTTCTCCACGTGTATAGTAGATCGAAAGCGAAACCAAACTTTCCCTTCCCAGTACGATGTTTTCCCGGTAGAACGGCCCTCGTATCCCCTTCTCTCCCCCTTAATTCGGCACAGGGCAAGCTCCCCATTTGATGGTTCGGGTGAGTATTTATTGACTCCTGGCGCGTCAACTATTTAGAACATTAGTCCCGCTAGAGTAGTGTATGTTATATCATGGGAGGAGGGGTGTTACTCCCCAGCTGGGATAATAAATCCGACGCTGAACTACATGTTGTCTCGCAGCTTTTCCACTTCCAGGTATCTTCCACTTCCAGATGTCTCGCTCAGAAGAGCTACTTTCGAACACTTGATTGCTGCATTTATCTAAAATATTTTTTCCTCATGTGAGGTCTGTTGAAAAAGATATCAAATTTCCCTCTCTAGTCCGATTTTTTCTTGTTGGAACGATCCTCGTATGCCTCATGGCCCCTCTTTTCTCCCACCCT